CCAGGAGTTGGAGATTGCTGTGAGCTGTGATGTCACAGCACTCTACCCAGGGTGACAGCTGAAGGCTCTGTCTCAAAAAAAAAAAAAAAAAAAAGTCTATATCCAAGCAAACTACCAATTAACTATTAGCGTAGAATAAGGACTTTTTTAATATGGCAGATACATGCACCTGTTCTCAGCATCTGGAGGTTGTGATCCACTCAGTACTCAGGTAAATCAAAAAGGAAGTCAGGGATCCAGAAAACAGAGTGAGACAAAGGAGGGAGAAATTCAGAGAACAGGAGCAGCACTGACGCAACCCTCAGCAGGATGATGAAGAGAAACATCCCAGGATGACAGGGCGGGTCTGGGGGACAAGCAGTCTGGGCAGAAGCAGTTTGCTGAATAAAGCTACCTCTAATATGGTGAAAGTTGATAAGTACACAGAAGGGTTCTTAGAGGGAATTTACACTAACTTAGAGAAGATAACTGATGAAAGTACAAGGAACACTAACAAGAGAAGTGGCAAAGAGAAATGTAATCACAGTACACTACCTGGCTCAGCTGCAGACAGTGTCTATTCAGTCCTAATAAAGTAATACAGAATATTTACCTAACCAAAAATTATGATTTATTTCTATTAGGAAGAAAGAGAGAGAAAATGCAGTTAGAGTCATCATATAAAAGAAAAGTAAAACTCGGGCATGACATCAGCAAGATGGTAAAACAGGAGGTTCCCAGCTTGTGACTCCTTGACAGAAATATTTTGGTACCTGTTCACATTCAGGAGTCCCTTTGTGGGAGCTTTGGGCTCCAGGCAGAAGGTTTCAAAACCCTTGGAGTCCAAGATTAAGGAGAACTCCTTTGTGAAGCAGGCCCAAGATCCAGTGGGCTGACTCTCAGACCTCAGTCCCAGATACTGACTGGAAGCATCCCTGTCCCACTGTGAACCCAGCCACTGGAGCTGGTTATCTCTAAGTACTGACAGATTTGTATAACTCTACCTATACCCGTGTCTAAAAATAATCTATACAGGATAGAAAAGGCAAATGACTGCAGCATATGAATGAAACCCACAACCCTTGCATTTCATTTCTCTATCCAATGAAATATGCATCTAAAATAAAATCTACATAATCTCACGTAAAATCACAGACTAAATATTTTCCTTTTAACATTTTACTTAAAATAACCTTACTTGTGTACTGGGCACAGCATGCATCTCCAATTCTTGGTCTATAGGATGGTTGACTTTTCTGAGTGTTACAATGTTCTAACAATTCAGCTGTCAATAAACACAGGTTTTCCTGATTTTCTAAAATATACAAAAGCAAAATTTTGTGAAGAGAATTTCCAATGCTACTTATTAACATAATATATAAAAGAATGTCAAGTCTAAATCAAAAACCTCTTGTGTGTAAAATACACAATGTTAAAAATATACCCACTATTCTTGATATGTATGGAATTTTTCTGAAGAGATACAACTGATACTGGAGGGGGCATGAAGGATGCCTTCAGTGGGCCAGTTTATTGATCAGGATAATTTTTGTTTGGAGATGGGGTCTTGCTCTATTGCATAGGCTAGAGTGCAGGGGCACAATCATAGTTTATTGTACCCCGAAACTCCTGGGCACAAGGAATCCCCCCCTGCCTTAGCCCCCTGAGCAGCTAGGATTACAGGAATGTGCCACTATGCCTGGCTGAGGGTGGGCATACTAACACAGTCACTTAAAACTTACTAAGCTGTATTTTCAAAGTGTTTGGTATGCTTTACCGTAAGTATTATACTGAATACAACAAAACTGTCCTCAGTACTTCCAATTCATCACATCCTGTGTTGTCAGGATCATATAACCCTACTCCTCTGATTTTTACTATAAAGATTAATTTTTATAATATGGGAGGTAAATTTAAGAGAAGTTACTGGGATTATCACAATTCTAAGCTTGAAAGTTTAAAACAAAGATTCCTTTTTTCATTCTTAAATTAGTACAAGTAGACCCCGAGGTACAAAAATCTGACTTTACAGACACCGCTCGCTCATTTATGAATGGAGACTATTACAGCTGAGTTCCCGAGTCACAAACATCTCACAGAGGTCATTACAGGTAACAGGCAAATGTACCTATACCAACTTATGCACAAATTCTACTTAAGAACAAACCTACAGAACCTACCTTGCTTGTAACGCAGGGACTGCCTGTATCTGCAAATAATTTTTAACAGACCCAACTTGCACTGACTCACCTTTGGACACTATAGGGATCAACTCTGTACATTTAAGAGATTCCCTAATTGTAAACTTCCAGGAAACAAAAAAGAAAAATTAAAAATCAACATGCTACTCTCCTTCATGACTAGTTTCAGTGTGCAACATTTCTCTCAGTCTCTAAGGAACTGGTTACAAAGTCTTTTAATATATCTAAAATAGTAAATACAATGTAGATGTTTTAAAATAAGAAATTATACAGCAATTGAGGATATTGCTATAAAAAGGTATAGGTTATCAAGCTCAGGCTACTGAGCAGGTGTGGTGGGCCATTCCTTCACGTTCCTGTCTGCATTTTTATAACTGAACTTGCCTTAAGTATTATGATCAATTCTTTCTTGAAACAGTGAACAAAAATCACCTCCTCCCCCTCACTAAGGAGTTCAAGATAGGCACTTTCATTATATAGTTTTAAAGGAGGAGTATAAATATGTCTCAGATTTTGGCTTCTTACCTGGCATCTCATTTGGTAGAGCATAAAACAAGTTTGGGCTCATGATTTCCAGTATGTTTGCTTGTACAGTTTTATTAACTGGCAATTCTATAGTCTTCCACTGCTCAGCTGAACGGATGTCTGAAATATACAAAATAGGTCTTGAATGAAATAGATAGCATGTACTATTCTTTCCCAAGTGTATTTATTCTGTAAGTTTTTTCATCAACTGATAATTAACATTCCCAGATTCCTAAAATGAAAACCTATATTTTCATAGACCAATCTATATAATTGGAGGGATTTTAGGATTCATTAAAAAAAAGTTCAGTTTATAATGAGAATCACCAAACTATTACACTCTTGCAGTGTATTTCTGGAGCAATTTCCATTTCTACAGTATATTTAATGTAATTCTTAAAATTTACTCAAACTTTAAGGGGAACCAGCTGTATAATGCATGTTTACCTGACAGCTACAATTAAAAACAACTATGATATTCAGCAACCATTTTAATAACAGATGAATATTCAATTAATATTACTGCTATTCATATACTATTATTAATCTACATCCACAAAGCACATCTTACAGGAATATGTCATTTAGGATTGAATGAAAAAATTTTCACTGCCTATAAAAAAATAATGACATAAGTTTTTTTTTTGAGACAGAGCCTCAAGCTGTCACCCTGGATAGAATGCTATGGCATCATAGCTCACAGCAACCTCCAACTCCTGGGCTCAAGTGATTCTCCTGCCTCTGCCTCCCAAGTAGTTGGGACCACAGGCACCCACCACAATGCCTGGCTATTTTTTGGCTGCAGCCGTCATTGTGGTTTGGCGGGCCTGGGCTGGATTCGAACCCACCAGCTCAGGTGTATGTGGCTGGTGCCTTAGCTGTTTGAGCCACAGGTGCCAAGCCTATTAACATAAATTTAAATAAATAGTTTTAAACTGTTACCTTACCTTGAAGTCCTAGTAGCTCAATTTGAAGATCATGCATATTAACTGGTCTGTTATTTGGCAGATCTTTGTGTGGGGAACAAGCTTTTAAGACCAGATGTTCATCAATCAGAACATCACTAATTATTCTGGGATAAGAAGTGGAAAGATCAGTGAGTTCAATCCCCACCCCATTTTCTGTGACTTCGACCACTCTGGCTTGCAATTTTATTCCTGCAACACACATCTGAAATCTTGCTGTGGCTTCTTTAGACCAGTGTTTGTTTCCAGGCTGTATATCTGGAAATAAGAACAGCATTAAGAAGAATTCTTTGCACATGCTCCATTCTTGCTTCAAGAGTTTCCAGGACTGGGGCCCACTCAGGTTAACCACTTAGGTCAGCAATTTTCAGTATCTTTTTTCAAAAATCTGCATCATTCATGTCTGAGTTACAGGTAACGTGTCTGCTAATACGCCAGGTTTTAGAAGGCTCAGGGGCTCTCCTTACTCTCCCCACTAACATCTTTAAACCTGCCATTTCTCCAATAGGCAAAAAGAGGAGTATTACTTCAGACTCAATGACCACGTACTGCTACCTACACACAATCACGACTTAACAATTATGCTGGTAAAAAACGTCAGCTGTTACACTTTCACTTTTGTGGATGGTTTTCTAGTTAGAACTTCAAAACGGCAATTTAAATTACTTAAGCAAAAATTTTTTCTTTGATAATTTTGGCTTACACCCTGTTTTCTTATCAGTGATATACGCAAAACGGGAGTGCATCTGAATCATCCAGAGGGCTTGTTAAAACAAAGTTTCTGATTTAGCAGGTCTGTGATACATCTTCCTGCTGGTTTGGAAGATGTATTTTAAGAAGCACTGACATGGACATGGTAATTAAGAACAAAAAACTAAAACATACTGACTATAAAATAAGTGGAAAGAAAATATTAGCAAAAGAAAATACAAGCATCTATGCTTCCCAGTTAACTACTTTTATCATTTTTGGAATCCAACCTTCCACAATTTTTGTGTGCATACATACACAAAAAACACACATGCACACTTATATTCTTACATAACTGTTTATAATAATAGTTATTATAGGTATAATGCCAAGTACTATTAAGGGCTTTATGTTTTTATCTCTTTATTTTTTAAGAGATAGGGTCTTGGTCTCTCCTAGGCTGGAGTGGAGTGGTAGGATCATAGCTCATTATAACCCCAAATTCCTGGGCTCCCTTGATCCTCCTGCCTCAGTCTCCCAAGTAGCTGGGACTATAGGCATGCTTTTTAATGTTCAGTAGAGACAGGATCTTGCTGTGTTGCCCAGGCTAGACTGGAAACTCCTGGCCTCAAGGGATCTACCCACCTTAGCCTCCCCAAATGGTGGGATTACAGATGGAGCCTGGAGCCACGGTGCCTGGCCTGTCTCTTTTGTTAACAACTTTGAGGAAACTGAAGCACAGAAGGCAAATGATGTGCCAGGCACATCTGTTTTTGTCACAATGGTGTCCCTGCATCTCTTTTATAACTTTTCTCCACTTAAATCATGAACATTCCTTCACATCAATAACACATACTTAACATCATCCTAATGACCATATACAAGGTCAGACAATTAAGTTTGAGAACTCATCCCAGAAAAAGTGCTATAACCTCAATGTTGAACACCCCATAGTCATCTTTGAGGTACCCCCCTCCGGAAGCTATGCACTGATGCCAGGACCTAGTCTATCCTTCAAAGCAATTTTGGAACTCTTCCTGGAATGGCCAGGAGAGGTGTTGTTGTACAAGTCCAGACAAAAAGTCTGTGAACTCGTCCTAGAAAAAAATGCTACATACTTCATTGCTGAACATCACCACGGTCACCAGGCAGCCCAAGGTAGTACTTTGAAGATGACCACAGTGATATTCAGGAATGAGATACAACAGCACTTTTTCTAAGAGTCTGTGAACCCAACTGTCTGACTTCATGTTAGGAACAGCTAACACATACCATACTATAGAACTTTCTGACGGGCAGACCTTGTCCTAAACACTCTTTAATCCTCACAATAACCCTAAGAAAAAGGTGCTATCATTATCCATTATACAGATCATAATTTAATCAATCCTCAATTACTGGCTACTTTTTACTATTATCATATAGTTGAACTCCTATGTAATTCCAAGATTTCTTCAGGATAAATGAGAAGTAAAATTACTAAGTCCGAAGGTATGAATATTTGAGGCCATTAAGGAATCCTGAAAAATGCCCTTGGGAGGGTTTTATCAGTTTCCACCCCATCATTAGTAAGCTAGCTGCTTCCCTACTCTGACCCCAACACTGGGCATTTTCACCAATATCCTAAACAAATAAATTTCTAAGTTCTAAACTACGAAGCAGAATCTTCCAACTCCCTAAAATATCAAAATTGCAGCCATTAATACTTAGATTATATATTCTACTAGAAAATAGTTGAAAAATTCTTATTCTATGCCATACCTACTAACCAGCATTGTATCCCTTGAAATGGAAGTTTTAAAAACTCTGATGGTATCACTTGGAGTTCATCTGTCGTAACTTCTTCGACATTTCCATAATCCACAAAATGTACTCTGACATGTCCATTTGGTAAGATTTCCTTGACTAAAGCACGATACCAATTACCATCACCTAGGTTTAACACAAAGATTTGAAATGGAATAATTTCCCTTGTATGAAGATTTGAAATATTTATCTTGAAAAGGACAGCCTTTGTCTAAAGTAGATAATAAGTACTCCCTTCCCCAGCTTATGCCTTTGTTTTTCATTCCAAAATCTGCAGAATGAGACCTCAAAATCCATTTAAGAATATCTCTAAAATTTATAGAATCACACGTCTACATCTGATACAGATTTCCTTCATAACCTATTCAATAAATAAAATGCGAAGGTGACACTTAAGCTTGAGCATATGTGTCAATATTATAAACTAATGGCTTAAATTGTTTTACTTGTTACTTGGTAAAATAAAAAAGGTAGTAGAAAAACTTATAATAAGATGAAAGTCTATCAAATACATTTTTAAGATACTGTGACAGTATCTGTCACAGTGACAGTATGTAGTAAGATACTGTGACAGTATGTAAGGTGACAGAAAAAAAAATGAACCTGCAGTGTACAGCTCTCTTCAATTAGCTAACTTATTTTAATATTATCAGAAATTCTGGGAAGAAAAGCATTCAAATGATGGTTTACAAAGTTTAGGTAAGAAAATATCACTTGTAGATTCCCTGTTACAAAGAGAGAAGGAAAAACACACAACATCTTAAACATTCATTTAATCTTAACTGTGAAAAAAAATTGCTTAAACATGGAAAAAACTAAGAATAAGATTGAATGTTAAAAACCTAGAAGTTGAGATTACACTAACTGCAACATACCTGCAAAAAATGCACAACACGGTTGCCCTATTTCTGCCTTAAAACCACTAGGCAACTTCTTCTGGCAATGCTCTGCTAGAGATTTGTTCAAATCATTGAGTTTCTCTAAAGCTGAAAATATAATACATATACAGCATTTAATGTTTAAGAAAACACAGAACATGGATTTTGCCTTTAAAGTCAGACAATGTTTTGATTATAAAAATCTCAGGTGCATGTCAAAACAACTATTAGTACACTAAATGCTTTTCCTTTTATAAAAAATATTATTTGGCAAATAAGCCATTATTTAGTGAATACCCTCAACAATCCCAACACCAACGATGTACTGGGCACAGATTCACCAGGACGGCATTATTGCCAGTATACCTGGGCAAAAACAATGGCACTATCACCTGTGTCCTGGAGCGAGCCACACACCATTATTGTCAGTAGAGTGTGAGCTTTACCAGAGCACAAAAAAACAGTGTGTGAGCCTGTACAAAAAGTTGCATAAAAGCTCCTGAAAGGGTAACTATACATTATCGGTGCCATTCATTTAGTAATTATTCTAAGGAAGTGCAGAGAGCTTGTAAGTGTTCTGTGCTAGAGAGTTCACTTGAAGTGAGAGACATTTAACACAAAGGAGAGAGTATTCCAGAAGGTTTTCTAGAAAGAAAAAAGAGCTCTGACAGAAAACACAGAATTTCAAGATCAGGTGCCCAAGAAAACATTTAGGGAGAGCAATTTGGCAAAGCAGAGAAGCGGAAAGGTGAGCCCCCGCTTGCAGACAGACCATGGGGGCTTCAGAATGTAAAGGAAAGGGATTTGATTCACTATAGAAGCAGTAAGAAGAAAGAAAATGCCTTTAAAACGGGTAACAAAAACTCATAAATAAAATGGAAAGTGAGGGTGGAGGCAAGATGGCCGACTAGAGCCAGCTTTCCACAGAGGCTCCCATCCAGAAGGAGAGTTAAAGGACAGAAGTTTGGCAAGTAAGCTGATGATTCGGAGCTGACCCAAGAGAGAAGGTTGAAGAATGCACATCAACCCTGCTGAGGCAAGCTGCAACCCCAAAGATACAAACAAAAGATACAAAATCCATCACCAAGTAGACGGGAGTCCCCTTCCCCCATGAGAACAGCTCATAGTATACTTTCTAAAAATAAGCAAGCAGAGTTCAAACATCCTTCCAGTTTATTCCATGGGAGAGACCCTCTAAAAACCGGACCTCCTTCCCCTACTAGGGTGCCATGGCACTCTCTCGCCAGGCATAAAACTGTATAAAACTGTATATATTCTCTACCTGTAATTCCCAACTCCCAGCACTCCCCTCCACTCTCACCCTGAGGTCTGGAAGCCTGTCCCCCATGGAGTCCAGATTCTTGGGCATTTTCTCGAGAGGTGTAGACAGGGCGTGGGCTATTGCAGGTCTGTGCTGATTCTGCAGCATGGCGGTAAGGAGAAAATGGTGAACTGAAGGAACCGTATGGAAAGGGAGAGGCGGTTCCCCCCAGCACAGAGCGGCAGCAGCAGTAACAATAGGGCTCACACCCCTGGGGTTATTTTGGAGGGACATTCCCTGTCTATCTGGGCAACCAGAGAAAGCTGGGCATCTTCTCCCATGGCAGACAATAGCAGAAAGGATCTAGGATGGCAATTCAGGTCCTGTGAGCAAAGTGTAAGCCTGAGGCGGTACCTGCCTGGGCGAGGAATGGCAGGGATGGAGAATAGCAGATGCACGCAGAGATGGCATACTCCCAGGGTGGGGCAAGCCAGAAGGACTGCTTTAGTGAGCTTAAGAAGCACTGGGCCCTCAGGGGATAATAGCTGAGACAAAGGCAGGTGAGCAGAGGCTAGAACTCAGAGCTGAGTGTGAGTTCTAACTGCATCACCCCAACCCAGACTGCACTGCAGACAGACACACCAGATCCAGGCAGCGGCACAGACCGGGGATGAGTTGCAGTTTCTGTGAACTCAAACAACGCTGGTCTGCAAGGGAATATAGCCAGGACAGAATAAAAAATTCTACGAAAATGTAAGTGTCAGCAACATCAATCAGGGGCAGGGCTGGAACTGAGTGAACCTTCCAACTTCCATTAACTACCTGAGGTTCTCAGGCCTCAGCTCCCCCTTCTGGATGGTGGCAGAGTGTGGAGGCCTGGCTGAGGACACACAGATCTCCCTGTGACTCAGACAGGCACAAACCCTGGAGCATCTGCTCATTAGAGGGAACTGGGTCACAGCTTTGTGGGGTTACCAGTGACTGTGTGTGACAGAGGTGCAATGTGGGGAAGGAGGCATCAACCTTCCCAGACTAATTCATTTTCTGGGGGTCCTTCTGACTCCGTGGAGCATCAGAACGAGTCATACTCAAGCTGCCAGCAGACTCCTGCTATCTAGTTCCCAGAGACCTTTTGAACTCTCCCACTTAAAACTGGGTGCTGACTGGGACAATTGATTTGCATCTCTCGGACTGGACCAATCACCCAAGGACTACCCAAAGTGGTACCATGAGCGTGTGGTTTTGGGAAGGTTTGATTTTCCTTTTCCAGGTGCTGCCCGTTGGGCGTGGGGTGACTTAATTGTTGGTATTTCTCCACATCTAAGACTTCTACCCAGAGTAACTAGGGTAGGACAGAGAGCAGCTAAAAACAAGACAGAGACACTTAGACCCACCACACCAAGTAAGTTCCCAGTGTCTAAGGCCATAGCACTGTACGGTCCCTGGCAAAACTCTAGGGGAAAAGGTACAGACACCAGTCCCAGTTTTTGGGCAAAGGGCTGGCTAATCACTACTCCAGGAGCCCCCTCAACCCAACTTCACCTTGTCTGCTCACCTAGCCAAATGGTGTAAAACAATTGTGGTATGGAATCAGCAGAAATACTTCGGTTACATGAATAACCAGAGTAAATCAATTCCCCCAAGAAACAATATGGTGGACACAAACTGAATATCCCATTCATAAACAAATGGCTAAGATGTCAGAAATTGAATTCAGAATTTGGATTGCAAATAAGATTAATAGAATGGAGATAAAGTTGGAATTAGACATTCAAGGAGCATTTCAAAAGTTGTCTTAAGAAGTCAATGAATTCAAAGACAAAAATCACCAAAGATTTTGACACACTGAGACAAGCATTTTCAGCCCTCAAAGATCTGAGAAAAACAGTAGAATCTCTCAGTAGCAGAATGGAGCAAGCAGAAGAAAGGACTTCTACCACTGAAGACAGAGCTTTTGAATGCTCCCAAACTCTCAAAGAGGAAGAGAAATGGAGGGAAAAAAAATGGATCATTCTCTCAGAGAGCGCTGGGATAATTTGAAGAAAACTAATATTAGCCTTATAGGAATCCCTGAAGGTAATGAAGTTGCTTTGCAAGGCACAGAGGCTCTTCTTCATGAAATTATGAAAGAGAACTTTCCAGACATGCCAAGAGATTCTGAAATTCAGATAGCAGACAGTTTCAGAACCCCAGCATGACTCAACCCAAATAACACATCCCCCAGGTGTATCATAATTAACTTCATTAAAGTTAATATGAAGGAGAAAATTCCTAAAGCAACCAGATGTAAGAAAACCATAACCTACAAGGGGAAGAATATTAGAATGACTGCAGATCTCTCTGCTGAAACCTTTCAAGTTAGAAGAGCATGGTCATTGACTTTTAATCTAAATCAAAGTAACTTTCAACTCAGGATCCTGTATCCAGCTAAACTGAGTTTCATCTATGATGGAGAAATTAAATACTTTAACGACATTCACATGCTGAAGAAATTTGCCATAACTAAACCAGCTCTCTTGGATATTCTTCCACCTAACCTCCACAATGATCAGGGCAATCCTCCACCACAAATGTAAACTCACTCATAAACTATTGATCAAATTCCAACTTCCACAGTGGCAAAAGGATTAAAAATATCCACTGGACTTTCAAAAAACTCGATACTCAAAATTTTACCAGGCTTATCAATATTCTTAATTATTGTGAATGGCTTAAATTGTCCTCTAAAGAGGCACAGGTTGGCAGACTGGATACAAAAAAAACTAAGGTCAGATATCTGTTGCATACAAGAATCTCATCTTACCTTAAAAGATAAATATAGACTCAGGGTGAACGGATGGTCATCTATATTTCAGGAATACAGAAATATTTCATGGAAAACAGAAAAAAGCAGGTGTTGCAATTTTATTCACAGATACAACAGATTTTAAACCAACAAAAGTAAGGAAAGATAAGGATGGTCACTTCATATTTCTTAAGGGCAATACTCAACATGATAAGATTTCAAATATTAACATTTCTGCACCCATCCAGAATGTGCCTCAATTTATAAAAGACACTCTAACAGACATGAGCAACTTGATTTCCTCCAGTTCCACAATAGTCAGAGATTTTAACACTCCTTTGGCAAGTGTTGGATAGATCCTCCAATAAGAAGTTAAGCAAAGAAATTTTAGACTTAAACTTAACCACTCAACATTTGGATTTAACAGACATCTATAGAACATATCATCCTAACAAAACTGAATACACATTGTTCTCTCAGCCCACAGAACATACTCCAAAATTGATCACATCTTAGGTCACAAGTCTAACTTCAGCAAATTTAAAAGAATAGAAATTATTCCTTGCATCTTCTCGGACCATCATGGAATAAAAGTTGAACTCAATAACAGGAATCTGCACACTCATACAAATTATGGAAGCTAAATAACCTTATGCTGAATGATAGCTGGGTCACAGACAAGATTAAGAAGGAAATTACCAAATTTTTGGAACAAAATGATAATGAAGACACAAATTATCAGAAACTCTGGGATACTGTGGAGGCAGTCCTAAGAGAAAAATTTATAGCACTACAAGCCTTCCTCAGGAGAACAGAAAGCGTGGAAGTTAACAACTTAATGGGACATCTTAAGCAACTGGAAAAGGAAGAACATTCCAATCCCAAACCCAGCAGAAGAAAAGAAATAACCAAATTTAGAGCAGAATTAAATGAAATTGAAAACAAAAGGATTATACAACAGATCAATAAATCTAAAAGCTGGTTTTCTGAAAAGGTTAATAAAATAGATAAACCTTTGGGGGTAGTGCCTGTGGCTCAAAAGAGTATGGCGCCGGCCCAATA